GTTCTCAGTAACTTCTTTCCTACAGTACAAAGGTGCAGGTAATGTTACTCCTGGTTTATAGAAAGGAAAACTGAAGCTTGGAGAAGTAAAACCATTACCTAAGGTCACACAATTGAGAAGGGCGGGAGCCAAGACCTGAGCCCGGACAGGTGGCACTACTCAGTGCTGCTTCTTGAGTCCTTTGAGATGTCCAACATATGGTTCAACTTTTATCATCAGAGAAGCTACATTCATTACTCATTCTAAATGAAATGAGAAAGCAATACAGAACAGAGAGTGAAGGACTTAGGGGAGGGATGGGGAGAAACAGCCTGAATTGCTAGGGTGAGTCCCAGTGAAGACTCTCCTGGAATTATCCCTGGCTGGAGAAAGCAGATGGTATGGCTACCATTAACAGGGATCCTAAGGAGGGTCTAACAAGCCTGTGTGTGAGTAGAAGATGGTTGTCAGTTCGGGAGGGGCCCTTCTCAGCTGTGTGAAGGGTTTGCTAAGATGGAATTAGGGTTTATTGAGAAGTAAAGAGCAATATCCAGCTGCCTGAGAATTACATTGACAGGATGCAAAGGCAAGAGAATATTGTGTAAACCTTATTTACAGATCAATAGGTAATCTTTCATACACAAAAGGTCAGCTCCAGGAAGGCAGAGCTGTACAGAAAGAAATATTGCCTGCAAATACAATATTGACTTAAAAAATGCACCCAGATGAATCCTTTGATGTATATTCTTCTAGTCAAAGTACATTTCTTTATTCATGAGTTTTTTTCTAACCACTTTAGGTTCCTCGGTGAAGTATGAAGGCAGCAATGAAGAACATTGATTTCCAGTTGTCTTGAATTCTGTGTCATCAAATGATCAGCATGAAATGGAATCAGTGCTGAAAATTTCAAAACAACATTTCTGTGTGTGTGTGTGTGGCAATTAGGATATTCAAGTCAAATGGAAACTTACCTCTAACCCCTTGTAATTTCCTGCTTTGGTGGCTGTGATGATAAACATTTATCCTGGCTTCAGGAAATAAACAAGTATTCAATCCTACTGGTCCCCTTTGGATTCTTTCATCCATTTTGTGTTTCTTCTTCGCCTTGAGGCTAGTAGTTCATCATCCCAAAGAATATCTGAAACCGTAGCCATCTACGTCCACCTGGCTGCTGGTTTGTGAGGCATTTATGAGGGCTGCTCAGACACAGGTAAGCATGGAAGGAGAAGGAAGCTCAGCTGGGCTTTGTGTCCATTATGGGCTCGTTCAGATTAGAGGTTCAACTAATTGACATCCCTTATCGGTATGGAAAATTTTTCAAAGGGCCACAGCTTGAGCCCCGAATAGAAGTATTGCTGGTAGAAGTGCCGTTGGAGTGCGGAGTTGCTGGGGTTCCCAGGGTCACCATGTGCCATATCCGAAGGAAGACTGTGCAGCTGGGAAAAGCGCACCCTTGGCAATAAAGTCAAAAGACTGAAGATGGACCACGCTTCCTGATGGAGATCAGCATGCCAGTGAATGTGAAAGAATTTTACTCACTGTAGAATTCTATGAATATTTTTCTCAGAGTAATCAAGGAGGATACTTTGACAATGACACAGTTCCTCCAAACTGCTTACAAGTTCTTTTCCCAAATGCTCTGAGAATAATAACCTCCTCTTATGAAAGGATGTGGCTGGAACTGGTCACCTACAGCTTTGTTTGGACTTGACAGGGGAGCCAGGTGGGACTGGGGACTAATCAACACCTCAAAGTGAGAAAAGGACACGGTGGGGGGGGGGGAGTGGGGTTGGATTTGATGACTGATGGCATAGATTTTAGCCTCTTCCAGAATCAAAGTCATAGCCCGGCCCCTCTATTTGGTCACAGTTCCCATTCCTCCCCCTGGGGATGTACCTTCCATGCCCACAGCCTCCCAAGTTCTTCCCCAGCTCTCACCCCCATAGAGGGAAACCTAAGGGTCCTTATTAATAAGAGTGGATGGTGTTGACCATAATGTATAGGCCAATATTGGGTCTAATTCTAGATCTCTTGATTTCAAACTTTGCAATGATTCCTCATCCCTTATTCACATGCTCCCAGCGCACCATTCTGGCTATTGTTCGTGCTGTTATTATCCAACACTATGGAATATGTATGTGTAGGGGTGGTTTTCTTTTTGGGTCTGTCCTCTGAAGGAATGCTTCTCATTACATGTATGTGAGTGGCAGTCCTCCTGTGGATGTCTTTGCTTGCCCTAACATGATTTTATTCTGTTATTAAAGGCTCTGTGGCCCCCATATTCCACTCAGACTTTTTCTAAGAGGAAAGGGAGAGAAAGAAGGGAAGATGGCAGTTGGAAGGGAAAGAAGAAAAGAAGGAATGAAATAAGCCAACTGGGTAACAGGCACTAATAATTTTACGTATGTATAGCTTTTTTTTTTTTTTCCTTTTTAGAGCGAGAGAGGAGAGCACGTGCACATGAGCAAGGGAAGTGGGAAGGGCAGAGGGAGAGAGAGAATCTTAAGCAGGCTCCATGCCCAGCAGGGCTTGAACTCACAACCCTGAGATCACGACTTGAGCCAAAATCAAGAGTCAGATGCTTAACCAACTGAGCCACCCAGGCACCCCTGTTTGTATAGTTACTTATAGTTTGTATACTGAAAAACAGTTTGCAAGGCGTTTTTTACAGGCATAATCTTATTTGTTTTTCACAACCCACCCTATTTACAGATAAGGCAACTGGGGCTTAGAGAAGGTACTTTACTGTCTACCTAATATCAGTATCCCACCCGGAATCCGGTCCTTCTGCCATCATATATAGTTTTTTTTTTTTTCTTTTCTATACCGCTCCATGAAATGTAAAGGCATTTCCCAAACTTGTCTTTTTGAACTTACGACAAACAGTATTAAGTAAAAGCTGAAGATCTTAGTGGCCACCATAACTCTTATTCAGCCCTTACTGGACTTTTCCTGAGAGTGGACTGGTAGACTTTTGTTGGCCAGAAATAATCATCCTACAAAATACTCAGTACATTTATTAATGTTTTCAAATACTTCATAGTTTATGTAATATTTTCATATATATATTTCACTTGAGGGTCTTATATAAGTGCATCTCAGAAGTCCAGGAATTGGCCCAAGAGTAAGTGGTGGGGTGGAGATGAAGTCTTAGTTTTTTTTAATTCTAAGGCCCATGCCTTCTCTGTTAACCCATATTTCCTCTACTGTTATGTGCCTAATCCAGGTTAGCTTCTGCAGACAGTATAGCAAAGTCCATTTAGGAAGCCAGGACTGCCAGGTCTGAAATTAAGAGAGGTCATAACGCTGACTTCTGAGCCTGAGTGGCTGCACTTGTGGGGCACAGTGCAAAATGAAAATGCAGGGCCCTTTGTTAAAAAAAAAAAAAAAGTTTAAGCATTTCAAGACCGTGGCAGCAGGGAATTAAACCTAGTGGGAGGCCCTCTGGGTGTGGGGTGCTTTTGAGCATGGAGCCCTGTGTGACTGCATGGACAGCATGCCAGTGAAGCTGGTCCTGCCTCTGACATTAACTCAGGAGTGAACAGCCTTAATTCTTTCTCAGATCCTTTCCAGGGCTCCTATCAGGGAGAGGAAATTCCATGTCATATAGATTCTGTTCTGTTAAATCTTTTATTCCCTTAGTCAGTCAGAGCTGAGGTATACAATGGCCCAGTGTTGCTCATTGTACCTACTAACTCCAGTTCTGGTGGATCAAAATTTAGGGTCAAAATATCACTAGCAGCTAATAGTAATATGAGCATTTACCATGTTACAGGCAGGGTGTAGAACTTTTTACATACTTTGGTTGCAAAGATGGCCTCAATTCCTTATCCTTCCTTGTATCTACACACCTTATTTTGTGATTTTGCAGCTTTTCCCATAAAAAAATGGAGTGTGTTTCTTTAGCTTTTGAATCAGGGCTGGCCCCATGAGTTTCTTTGGCTAACAAAATGCTCCAGAAGAGACAGTGTGCTAATTCAGGGTGTAGATCTCAAGAGGCTTGCAAGCTTGAGCTCTGTTGGAAGGCCCCAGACTGCCATTAGAGCAAGCCTATGTTAGCCTGCTGGAAATGAGCACCTCTTGTTGGAGATCTGTCCTCTCAACTGAGACCATCGACAGCAGCCAACCCCATGTTGACCTGCCACCTAACTGTAGTTACTTAAGTGAGCTTAGCTGAGGTCAGGCAAACAGAGTCCAGGTCAGCAGACACATTCCATGGATCAACTCACAGACAGATGAGAGATAATAAATAGCTGTTGCTTTAAAACTCTTTTTTGGGGGTGGTGGTGGTTATGCATTATTATGTTAATAGGTAACTGATACGCATCTATCATTATTATTTCCATTCTTGTGACAGGGAAATAAGCTGTGAAAGATTAAGTTCTAGCCTGTGATTAGCTGGTGAATGGGCTTAGTGTGACTTGTAGCCCAAGTTCTTATGTGGTATTTTATGGAGCCCTATCATAGCACTCTGTCAAGCACTCAGCTATTTTGGAAGCCATTTGCATGGAAGAAGCAGTGTCTTTGCTGATGCGACATGCCTGAAGGATGGAACTCAAACACTGGGAATCTCTCTGCTGAGAAAATACTATGTCTATTATTAACTAAAACTTACAAAATAAAACACTATAATGTATCAAAGAAAAAAATGTATATATGCAGAACAAATGAGATGCTTTTGAGGTCAAGGTCAAAAGCTAAATGCTAGCACAAATTCTGGCTGCATCTTATTAACACTAAATCATGACTGAGTTCCTCAAGAGGTACATATGACAATTCCATTAATACAAACCATGCCTTATGATGTCTGTTTTAGTAAATGAAAAGAAAAATGCAGTTATATTAGTGGAACTCTCTTATAAAACTAAAATAAAATTCACCAGCAAGTGTCTCCCCCTTCTATGTTAACCCACATCTATTATAAAAAGCAGTTGCTCCCCAGAGTAGCAAGTGGACGTTTTGATAAAACAGGAATACATAATTTGTTTATAGAAGGGGCACCAGAATATAAGAGTTCTTACAAATATCGGAGGTTGGGAAGGCTCTGGAAGGCATCAGGGTCGATATATAGCAGGTTGTTGGCCTTTTCAATTCTACTGTAAAATAGGAAAGAACAAGCACATGAACTCAACATTAAGGAATGCTGTAGTATTTTTCACATTATGCAAAAGGTATCTCAGTCACTCACCTATCCATCCATCCATCCATCCATCCATCCATCCATCATTTCAACAAAGAGTTGAGACCACATGCAGTTCTTTTACTACACTAAACCGTGCAAACTAAATATTAACCCATTTGGCTCTCATAACTAATGTCCTCTTGGCACCTGTTAATCATAACTGAACAAAGCACTGGTTGAGTGTGTCCTTTTCACACAGCACACTGCATCTTTAACCAGTAAATGTCTTTTAGAGACCTCCTCAAGGTTCCTCTGAGGCAGCTAAGAGGGCAGGGATGAGACTAACATGGGGAAAAGAGATTTTGTCTGGTCTGGAGACAAGAGCGCATGAGATGGAAAACAATAAAAGGTGAAAAGAAGATGGGAGGAAGGGGAAGGGTGAAGGACAAAAGGGGATTAGGGAAAAAGTAAAGAGGCAAAGGAAAACAAAGATTAGGTGAAAAGCACCTGATTTTAACCAAGAAATTGCAGCCGACAGTAGCTGGGAATGTGCTGGTGATTCCCTTCATGTTGTAGACTGAGGCTAGTCTCAAAGCTCATGGGAAGTGGTGACTTCTGCCCTCGTTGCCTTTGGTTGGGTCCTGATCAATAGTCTGGAGGTGAGCATGTTCACATTTGGATTCCAGCGGAGAGAGACTGCCCTTTCCTCATCTTGCTAGATCAATGTATATTTGCAGAGATGCTCTGTGTTAATTACTTCCTCCCTGTTTCATTAGCTTTTATATTGCAGTAACCTGTAGCTATCCAGATCCAAGTACCAGGTAATTAATTATTTTAAGTACAGTCAGTGCTACATGGGGGTGAGCACCTCTCCGTGCAGGGAAGAGATGAAAGAGCCGTTCCATTAGCTCTACTGCCCGCCGAACCACAGAGAGGGATGCTTGCTTGACCCTGCTCAGAGAGCTGGCTGCCCTTTGATTCATTTCTTTGACATTCCCTGTGGGTCTGAGACCCTGGTCAACTCTCTTTTCCCAACTAGGACAAGGAGAGACCAAACAGAAGAAAGGAAGGAACAGGAGGGCAATGGGGGAGAATGAGGGAAGGCATCAGTTGCAGAGGTTTAATGGCATTGAGGAATAATGCAGGTGGGAGGCAGAGTGGGTAGAAGGAAGGAAAAGGGATGGGGCAGTCTGCAAGTATGGACAGATCGAGTGTCATTTCTAAACAAATATGTGAATTATGTGAATGTGTATATGTATATATGCTGGCAAATGCTAAGAGGTTTTTAAAAAAATACCAGAATTGGGATTTATTTTCAAGTCCTTATCCTGCTATGGATTTGGCTGGGTAACTTTAGATAAGTCTTGCAACTTCTCTGTGTCTTTCATCCTCATCTGTAATGCTAAGAAAAGTGGTTCAGTGGCTCTCCTAACTATGTTCTGTGGGAATTTTGTGAGATATTAATACATGCCCCATAGAAGAAACCTTTCCAGTGATATTGGTGGAGAACCCTTAATAAAATATCCTCCTTGGAGATTCTAAGTATATATTTGCATATTATAGGTTCTGAGTTTTCTTATAGTAAGTGAATCTAACTTTATTTGCCCAATGTTTCCTAATCTTATTTGACCATAGAGTTATTTACCTTTTTTAAAAAACACTTAATACGCAAACAATGAATCATGGAACACTACATCAAAAACTAATGATGTAATATATGGTGATTAACATAACATAATAAAATAAAAAAAACACTTAATTTCCCAAGTGTTTAATGATAAACAGAATATATTTTGGAAAAATAGGGACCAGATAGTCTACAGTCTCTTCTGGCCTTGACATTTTATGATTCTATGAATTAATTTATTGTAATTATAGGCTGGTATGAAACAAGTGCATCTGTATGAATATTGGCAGGTGTGTAAAACTAGAATGTCAAAAGAGAAAGCAAATTGGGTTATAATAAGGAACCAAGGATTGTTATGACATACTTATTCTATGCCAGTTGATGTGTTAGATCTAATTTATATTTATCTCCTTTATTCATCACAGTGATCCTGTGCCATGCACTTTTATTATTATTCTCATTTTACAGGTTAGAAAACTAAGTCTTGGAATGATTTTGTATCTTGGCCAAGGTTTCATCGTGATATATGGCATGGGCTAGTATTCAAGTGAGGATTGCTTATCTTTAACTACATTATGTGGGATTTATTTTGGACTTTGACTCTGGAATAATTTTATTTTATTTATTTTTTTTTTAAGATTTTATTTATTTATTTGAGAGCGAGAGACTGAGAGAGAGAGCACATGAGAGGGGGGAGGGTTGGGAGGGTCAGAGGGAGAAGCAGACTCCCTGCCGAGCAGGGAGCCCGATGCGGAACTCGATCCAGGGACTCCAGGATCATGACCTGAGCCGAAGGCAGTCACTTAACCAACTGAGCCACCCAGGCGCCCCTGGAATAATTTTAAATGAGAAGATGAGATAGAGGTATCTTCAGTCACAGAACAAGGTTCTTGGGTCTATTGAAGAAAATCTGGGAGGGAGGGAGCAGGACAAGACTAGGCTCTGAGCTGGTACCTGGATCACCAGGCAGAGAGACACATGACAGTGCCTTTTGGGCTGACTTTGACATCTTAAAATGAAATTTTTTCTAAAAATTTTATTCATTTGAGACAGAGAGATAGCACGTCTGAGTGCATGAGCAGGGGGAGAGGCAGAGGGAAAGGGAGAAGCAGACTCCCTGCTGAGCAGGGAGTCTGATGTGGGGCTCAATCCCAGGACCCTGGGATCATGGCCTCAGCAGAAGGCAGATGCTTAACCCACTGAACCACCCAGGAACCCCTTAAAATGAATTTCTAGAGATCCAAGGATTGAGCAGAGATAGGGCCTTCCAGGGATATACACAAAATTTAAGGCTACTGCCAACAATCATGAGCAAACCCCACAGGATCTTGCTTACATTTCATGTAATTTGGACAGGTTGGAGAACACATTTGCCTCTATCACTTCCAAGACTTCATTCTGTGAGATCTCTCTGCAAACAAACAAACAAAAAACAAAAAACCATATGATTCAAGTCAGTTCAGTTATACTCCACAGATGGATTTAGGGCTCAGCATAGAGCCTCCTGCCTACAATGATTCATGAGACACACACAACTCTATTCCTGCCCTCAAAGATGTAAGCTGTAATAATGAGACGAAGCTAACACACGAGATGCTAATACTTAGAGAACAATGAGAGAATAAGCCTAAGGTGATGGCTTAGTTAGTTTAGAGAATATTCAGTCTACAGATGTAACAACTGAAGCCCAGAAAGGGAAGGAGAATTGATTAAAGATATTTAGGGAATATACAGGATGAGAATAAACTTTAGGTTCCTTAGACTCTGCAGGGGTCAGCAAAGTTTTTCTACAGGGCTAGATGGTAACTATTTTTTGGCTTTGTGGGTCATTTGGTTTCCATCACAACTGCTCAGTTGATAATACAGTGCAAAAGTAGCCATAGATAACAAGTAAATGAATGAGCATGACTGCCTTCCAATAAAACTTTATTTATAAAAATATAGGGGTTATCCTATATAAGATCCTGTGGGGTTTGCAGGCTGGATTTGGTGCCATGGGCTCTAGTTCAGTAACCTTGCTCTAGACCATGGAGTCAAGTTCTTCTCTCTGCTAATCTAGCTTTGGGAGATGAGAACCTCAATTCAGTCTCTTTTAAAAGGAGTGTGGATTTAAATACCTTCCCCCTCCATATTATTAGCCAAGTAGGGGTTGTTACTGCAAGGCCTTCCGTCTTAATGTCTTGGCCTAAAATACCCAGAAAAGATCTTTCAGGTTTCAGGGTGTTTTTGTTGTTTTTTTTTGTTTTTTTCCTGCTGGAGTAATTTGAGGGCAGTGGAGAGTGAAGTCCACTATGCCGAAGCCCAGAGCTTGAGAAGATAGAGGGTGGCTTAATCACTTAATGTTTATAAAGTGGCTCACAGATGAAACGTGCTATTATTAGGTCTCCAGAGGAAGGTTCATGCAGTTTTAATGCGGCAGCTGAGTGTCTCAGGAAATCTCATAGGCAGCATGCTTTCAAATTGGCTGAGGCAGAAGCAGAAGCACTGTCTGCTGGCCTGGGGTTTAGCTGAAGAGTTCTAGAAAGACTCTTGATCAGGGGAAAGCCTAATGGGCAGAGCAGGGCGGATGTTTTACAGGGGAGGTGTGATTATGATCAGCAGTCATCTCAGTGAGGGGGGCTGGTGACATCTGGAGCTTGTCAACTCAGTGGTGGTGGGTCACTTCTCACAAGCGAGGAGACAGTTTGTGAGAGAAAAAAAGCCTTCTTATTCTATGATAGCATTTTTCATGACTCACTTGATAAACTTTAGTATTCATAATTTTTACAGTTGAACATAAATAAGGGGGGGGGTGGTGGTGGTGGTGTGTGTGTGTGTGTGAGTGAGTGATAGAACATGTTGGCTATTGGCCATTTATTTTGCTCCTCTGTCCTACAAGTGGAAGGAGTACTGGGAGGTACAGGAATGAGGAGGGGTAGGAAAGGGGTGGTAGACCTAGAAAAAGAAGGTGTTAATTTGAACACTTAAAGGAGTTGAGTGAAAAGTTGCACAGGGAAAGGTAGGTCATGGAGGAAGAACCAGATGAGAGGGCTTAAATCCAAATGGGGCCATATCTTCCAAAAATGATTTCCAGGTTCACTTACTGCTACCAGTAGGTTTGGTTCACCACTCATGGTAATTTCTCAGCCTAATAATGCCTAATAGGTAGACATTTCTCCTTTCCTGAATTCATGTGCTGAGAGTTCCCTTATCTGGATTTCCCCCCTCCACCCCTCCTTCCTTTCATCCTTTTGTCAAAGAGAACTACAAATTATTAGAATTAAATGCCAAAGAACACTTCAAAATTATTTCAGAAGGTAGTTCATATTTTATAGCCTCACCTTCAAATACAGGAGAGGGTGTTGGGGTTGTGTAGGGGGAGGGGGAGCCTTTGGATGAGGGTTGAGGAGAGATGAACAATATGCAGCACTGGAAAAGCATATCACTGAGAAACTCAGGGATCTTGTTCTAGTCCAACCTAGTGCCATCTCTAGTTATTTCTCTTATCATTAATTACATATCTGTATTTACCAGCTACTCCATGTACATTCTCTCTAATCCTTTTGACATGCCTGTAAAGTATTTTGATCTCCATGTGAATAAACAACCCCACTTGTATGCAGAATCACCTCTGGATGATTGCAGGGTGGCAACACTTTTTTTTTTTTTTTATTTGAGTAAGAGACACAGCGAGAGAGGGAACACAAGCAGGGGCAGTGGGAGAGGGAGAAGCAGGCTTCCTGCTGAGCGAGGAGCCTGACGTGGGGCCCTATCCCAGGACCCCGGGAGCATGACCTGAGCCGAAGGCAGACGCCCAACGACTGAGCCACTCAGGCGCCCCTGCAACACTTTCTTTTACATATCCTGCTTCCCAGGCCACCTTGGTCCCAGTATTTCCACTCCAGTATTTTAACTCAAGATAAATAAAAATGTATGCCCTCCCAAAGAGTTGTAGATAAATGTTCATTACAGCTTTATTTGTAATAGCCCCAAACTGGGGACAACCCAATGGATAAACTGGAATATCCATATGATGAAAATCTACTCATCAATAAAATGCAACAAACTGGATACGGCATGGCTGAATTTTTAAAAAATTATGTTGAATAAGAGAATGCATACTGTATAATTCCATTTATATAAGGTTCTAAAACAGGAAAAACTAAGATACAGTGACAGAAATCAGAGTAATTGTCACCTGGGGTCTGGGATGGATGTTGCTGACAGGAGGTGGGGGGAAACTTTCTGGGGTGATGGAAATGTTCTATATCAAGATTGGGGAAGTAGTAACATGAGTGTACATGCTTGCCAAACTTGTTAAACTTTAAACTTAAAATGATGCATCTTGGGGTGTCTGGGTGGCTCAGTTGGTTAAGCATCTAACTTTGGCTCAGGTCATGATCTCAGGGTCCTGGGATTGAGCCCCACATCAGGCTGCTCATTCAGTGAGGAGTCTGCTTGTCCTTCTTCCTCTCCCTCTTTCCCCACTCATGCCCCTTCTCTCTCTGTCTCTCAAATAAATAAAATCTTTAAGAAATGGGTGCATCTATTTTATTGTGTATAGAACATAAATAAAGTTATTTGAAAGATGACTTTTATGCAAGGGAAAGAGAATAAACTTTTTGTTTGTGTTTCAAGAGCTCTGAATTAAGAGAATTAATAGAAGAATCTTGGTCATGTTTTTTGCCCAGAGGTAGTGTTCAAATCCTAGTTCTATCCTGGTGATTCTAAGTAAGCATTCTTCCCCTCCTGGTCATCACTGCCCCCCATCTGTAAAGTGAAGAGTTGGACTTTATCATAGTTTCTCAAATCTGACTGCATGTTGGAATCTTCTGGTGGACCTTAAAAAAAATTCCAAAGCCTGGATCCATACCAAAGAGTTGGATTTATTTAGTCTGGAGTGGGACTCTGGTATTATTTTTTTCTCCCTTTAATTTTCCAAGCAATGGGGATACCCATATACAGGAAAGATGGAGAACTGCTGGACTAGATGATCATTAAGGTGCTTTTTAGATCTATGAATTTTGTTTTAAAGTTTGCTTCAGGAGCAAGAAGGGCCAATTTTCCCTTGGTTACTGAGACAATAAATTAGACAAATAAGGTTCTTGGAGCACAAGATAATGAGAGATAATGAGGCAAAATAGTAGCAAGATAAACCAGAGATCTAACATGGAAGCAGGAGTAAAACAGAAAAGGCACTAGTTAGGTTTAATTTTTCATAAGTAAAAACATTTAAACAAAAAGTTGCAACATTTCAGATGTTAAATGTGTAGCAAGAGCTGTTGTGGAAAGTATGTAAGAACACTTTAGTATCGATAATTGACAGTATTTTTGATTATGCATAGCTTCCCTTCATTTTTAGTGTCCCTGTAAACTGGAGTTAGTGGTGCCAATACTCTCCAGAGAGGTTTAACAAAGGTTACCTGACTTGACTAAGATAATACTCAGTTGTGAGGATCATTAAATTGGTCTTTGAAGGGAGGATGTGGAATCTTTGCATCCAAACAATTTAGATAATTAAGAAACCATCCTTTGTCTCAATAACTTCCAGTTAAGAATTTTCTTTGCAATTGTGACAAATCATTGCAATTGGCACAATTCCCGCTGTGATGGCGTTTTCTTAGAGGCAACAGGTAAAAGGTTTGTGAGGAGAGGAGAGCTCTAGGGATGTGATAGATTAGCTGTTCTAAGTGTGATCTTGTGGTCTATATGGCCAAAAGTATTTTCATAATAATGCTAAAATAGAACTTCTTCCCTCTCATTCCTTGAGGATATAGTGGAGTCTAGGGGTTACTCAATGTGTAATATGGCAACAGCTATAATGGAGAAGCAGAGATGAGATTCCATCTATCTTCTATTAAGCCAGATGCTGAAAATTTTTGCAAATATGTAAAACCATGGTACTCTACACACTAATTTTTTTGAAAAGACAGTTATTTTGCATAACAATTATTATTTATGTTAGCATGTAGGGATTTATTGTTTTAAAATGGACTGACAAAATGTTTCCCAGTTTTAACTTCTAGTATGGTAAATGTTGGTAGCTATAACCCACATAAACCCAATCTCTTTGGTGTCTTTAATAACTGTTAAGAGTGCAAAGGGATTCTGAGATCAGAAAGTTTGGGAAATGTTCAATGTAGACATTGAATGACACTCTTATTGGGAGAGAGATCCTGACTCTGTGGAAAGCTTATTTCCAGAGATGAGGCTCTACTCATCTTCTAGGATAGTGCTTCTCAATTGTTCATGCACAGATGAATCACCTGGGAATCTTGTTCAAATGCTTCTCCATGGGAAGATCTTGAGTGGGGCTGGAGGTTCGGCATTTCTAATACCTCAGGTGATGGGGATAGTGCTGGTTTTGACTGCAAGGCTCTTTAGAAGAATGGTTCTAACACCCCACCAGACCTTTCTCCACATCACACACAT